GGGGGAGCAGCCGCGCGCACGAGGACCGCGGCCACGCCGCGCACGCATGAGCCGAAGCGCGCCCCAGTGCGCGTGCGTACAAGCGCCGCACCCCCCACCCCCCCCCGGCCGCTGAATAGGGGCGCATGTGCAGAAAGTGCGGCTCTCCGCCCTGCTCCTTTGTCTGAAAGAAGCGGTTTCTCTCCGCTCCACCCCCCCCCGCCCGAGGAGGGGGCACAAACGCGGGGGTCCAGGGCGTGCCGGAAACCGAGCCTCGTTCTAGGCGGCTGGAAAGGCCAACACAGGTCATTGGTGGCCTCCAAAAGGCCCCACGCGAGCATTGCCTCACAGCCCGGGGTAGTCTCGTCACAGACAGGTGCAGCCCCGACTGGGAGGCCCGTGCAGCTCTTTCTCAAAGTTAGGCAAGGGCACGTTTCATCAGAGCCACTAGACACGTAGGGGGTGTGTACAGGTGTACGTGCACCCCCTGAGATTGGTGGTGCACCCCCTGCCAAAAGCGCTATTGATGCTGCCAGTGGCGCCTGTGGACAGTCGCTGCTCACGGCCCCCCTTCCCCACCGCCAACACCATCTGCAGGTGGTCCCTGATTCCTGGGTGGTCGCCAGCCCCCCCCCTGCCACCAACACCACTGTGGCTGCCTGTGGGAGCTCCCTGCCTGCTGTCTTCGCCACCAACACCGCTGGCGGCATCTGTGGGAACTCCCCACTTACCACCATTGCACTCCTGCCGCCACCAGTGCTGCCGTGCCCCCCCAGGTGCCGGGGGCATGTGTTGTTCATGAAGATGGGTGCACAGGTGTGCGGTGCAAACTGTGTAATGGGACTACAATAGTTTAACTGTCAAAGTGTGTTTTGATCTGCCAAGTAAACCACAGTGTTCACTTGACAAGTTGTTAGAGGTAGAGTTATATATGTATATATATTTGTTTATATAGAGAGAAATATTCATGCAAAAAAAATTGAGTTAGCTTTATGACCATCTTATGCCATATAGACATACCCTATAAAAGCAATCCATTCTCCTGTCAGGACTCACACGTGCATCCATACCTTGGGCAAGTACGACCATGGTCTGCTGAAAGACAAAACTGTTATGAAGAATATGGTCAACCTCTTATTCATCAAAGAAAAAACAAATCTTCAGAGAAAGGATATCAGTGAAGGTCTCTATGGTACACCTAGATCTGAAGCCAGAATGATAAAGCTCCACAGACATATGGTCAATTCTCCACTTGAAGTCTTTAAACCATGATCAAATGACTTTTTAAAATATTCTCTAGTTTAACTACAACACATTTGCCTGAGGCAGGAATTCTTGTTGAATTTTACACCTGTGTTACGCAAGAGGTTCTAGTAGATGATCAGAATGGTTCTTTCTAGCCATAATATGCACAAATACCAACAAATCTAGATGATGCTGAAGATGAATCAGTACTACATTCTTTAAAAAATCACCAGACTATTTCTTCAGTATGAAGAGTATGGTTTCTTGAGCAAGATCCAAACTCACATTTGATTTAAATTGGCAGGTGTCTTCCCTTTACAGGAAGGTATGGACTTTTCTCCACCAGGAGGAAGCAAGGTTTTGCTAAGCCAATGTCACCAAGCACTTTCAAAACCAGTGAGGCTAGAGTGTAAACCAATCTCCAGAACTGATATTATGTCAAGGTACCAGACAATCTGTCATGAATTACTGTGATCTTCTCTGAAGTTAATGGGAAAATTCTTCAGAGAAACATTTGACTCTGCTTCCATTAGAAGGCAATCAAAACTAAAGAAGTTGCCTATCTTATGGCACATTTCAATTAATCTAGCTTCAGTAACACAAAGAAATCTCCTTAGTCTTGCTAGCCCATAGACATTATAGAAACATCTGCCATTATCAGTTGAATTCAGTATGCATTTTCTTTCAGTGGGCATTGCAGTTTTCTTCTTGTTTCTTTATCTGTTGAAGACCAGCTCTAAAGTACAATGCCTTGTAAGGACATTGGAGGAGAAAGAGATGCCTGGGAGATAGTATATCAGCAACCATAAGAAAAAACATTGATCAAAGTGTGCTTCTTGTCCAATGTATGGACTATATAATTATTCAGCCAATAGGTCTTAGTCTCAGCCAACAGATTGTCTAAATAGCCAGAACATGAAAAAAGGGGATGGATCTAGACCTCTTCAGCTTGGAGAAAGTGAAGCACTCATCAGCTTATGACAATGGTGAGATCAGCATATCTTTTATATCAATTAACAGATACAGCACATGTCCACCCAAGAAGTCCATGCAATTGAAGACAGCCCTTGGACCAGATTATTTAACAGAGCCAAATTAAATTTTGATACCAAAGAATAATTGGTTTTGGAAGACTAAGAGATTACATTTTGCTTTGGACACCTTCAAGTATATAATTCATGGTTACATTAATAGGAATTTGTATATTATGCCTCCAAAGCAGTGCCAGTTGCTTCACAGTAGGCATGCATGTGCTAGAGAAGTTTTCCAAACAATTTTAAAATCAGTGGAACTACGCATATTTTATCAACAGTTATAGCCATAGTGTAGATTCAGTTTTAGGCAATTTAACCTGTTTTACTAACCCAAGTAAAATCAATCCCAGAGTTACACACTACTACAAGGGCAACCTGGAGAACAGAAAACCCAGGGGATCTTGTTTCCAATCCTTCATTAACAACTAGACTATACTTCCTCAATTAAAAATATATATGAAAAGGCAGTTCTGTATCTGATTAACCCTCATGTCTCCTTCTGGCTTTTCACTTCTATTTTTCATCATAAATTCTTTTCCCCTGCATGACCTCTGTCAGAAATCTGTTCTGAGACCATAAGCTCTCTTTTGAGTTTCTCTTTAAAGATTCTCAGGGAAAAAAAAGAAACCTTAAACCAGTCTAACAAAGGATCCCTCCTGCAGTTTCTCCACAAAATCCAATTACAAGGAATAAGTGACCATAAAATACCAGACAATAATTCCATTAAGGGATCTCTGTTAAGTTCATAAACCTAAAAAGCATAGCTTGAGAAGTTTGTCCCTAGAGCCCAAGTGGAATTTCCCTGTCATTCACTTATAATTTTTTAATAATATCCATCACACAGACCCACGTACATTAACCATGTATCTGCAAGAACATAATATTATTTCAGGCATAAAGTGACCCCACTGGGACACAAAAATATAGACAAGCATTTTGCATTTCACTGATTAAATTCTCATCTCCCACATGGAAGATCTGGGTTCAGTTCCCAGTGTGTAGAGAAGGAAGGATGGTCCAGAGTTTATAGGACTAGCCTGGGACCTGGGAGACCCAGGTTTAATCTCCTGGTCTGTCACAGATTCCCTGTGTGACTTAGGACACAGTTCCCCAGTGGGGATAAAAACACTCCTGGCCTCACAGGAACGTTGTAAGGAGGAAGCCCCTGAAGTTCTCAAACAGTAGAGAATTGCTGGGGGAAGAGCACACAAATACCTGATACACACAGGGTAAGACAGTGCTGGGGAAATGCATCCTACCACTATCCTTCCAACCCTGTGTTGTGTCTAGAAAATGTCAGTCTCCAGGACTTAAGCCAGCACTATTCATTAACATGAAAATTATTGTAAACCCCTTTCTCAGGACTACAGGTTCATGTTGCTCATGATCAAGATCAGCTATTTAAAGGTAGTGAGGGCTTTCCAGCACTTTTGCTCCTCAGATTATAAATGCTCCATACATAGGGTGGTGCTACGTCACTGTAGAGATGTGCCATAGTGATGTAGTGTCCACGGGTGTCTACACATGACCAGCAGCTACTTAGCCGTAGCGGCGCACTTCCCTGTTATAGTGTGCTGTTATGGCAAAGTAGCTGCTAAAATTAACTGTGCACCACATATACAGCACAGTATGGGTAGTTACTGCGCCCAGCTTTGGAAGTACCAAAAGGAAGTACTAAAGCATGGTGCAGTAACAACATCACCGTACGGCAATGTGTAGACACGCCCATATTACTAATACAACAATGAAGTAAGTGCACTACTTAAAACAAAAATTCACCTTAATATACTTACGCAAGACTCCAGGAGGAGCTACTTGCATGTACCTGACCTTTAAATTGCACAAACTGTTGTATCCAACCAGCAAAGAAGTCTGAGACTTTCTTTCCTGTAGGCACTGAACTAAAATCTGCCTTTGGGGCATTTGTGCTAGGAGATGAACTAGATAACTGAATAGTTCTTTTCCTTTCTAGCTTCTACGA